TTTTTTCTGAGCCGTTCGAACGGTTAGGCTACCCGTTCGCAATTTTTCCTGAGCCGTTCGAACGGCTAGGCTACCCGTTCGGAATACTTAATCACCCGTGCGAACACTCATTGAAACCCGTTTGAAACGGCTTGGTGACCCGTTTGTAACCCGTTCGATGGTCGTTCGTTTCACCCGTGTAACGGAAAGTCGTTAATGCACGTTTTCGCGTGAAAGGTCACATTTGATTGGCTGGATTCTTGGACTAAGATTTCCAGGTCTAATTCAATGTTGGTTTCATTCACAAACATCTCTTATTGAAGCTCTTTGATTAGAGCATTTATGTGTTTTGCTATTGAGGTCTTAAAGCAGGTTCTAAACTATAGCACCTGAGTCTGAGTCAACCCCTGAAGAAACTAGAAACTAGCATTCAGTTAGTAATGAATCGAGCCAATCAAATAATATGTTTCTAGAGCCACCTTTTCGTCTTGCCAAGGCCCTGTCAGCTGAGGAGGACAGATGGCTCTGGGGCTGAGAGTGGAGTTGTGTGTGATTTTAAGAGAGACTAGCAGTTTTTGCTTCGTTACTTAAGTTGTACATGTAAATGATACAGGTAAAAGAAAAAATGTCTAAACATAAATTTTGACATCCCATTTTCAATTTTTTTTTCCATTTGTTCACCATTTTGCTTGTTATCTTCCCTTTCGATTTTTACTACCGTAATATGAAACAAGAAAAACTATTGTTTAGAAGAATTAGAATTGCAAAGTGAAAGCAAATATCAAGCATACCGGTAGTATGTTTTCACTATAATTATATACATGTACATTGTATATATGATCAGAAATTCTAACAGTTAAGAGCATCTTGTGATTTTTCTCATCTCAGTTTCAACAAATTAACTGAGAGACACTTTGAAAAATCCCCATGGCCTGACGCAGATTACGTGGCATCACTTGTGGATGGAGGTGAGTTTTTTCAAAGAACATGATGTCAACATAATATGTTGACATCATGTTCCAAGTTAACATATATGGGTAGATAACTTAAGGTATCAGTATACCTTAATTTCCTGAAAGCTTGATAAATTAGGAATTCAAATAATTTTTTTTTTCTTTATTTGAAAAAACATTAGTTTTAGAAATTTTACATAACAAAGCAAAATAATTTATGCCTTCGCCTTTATCAAGTTTGTTTTATATGCCTGGATTATTCTGGCAACATTTGCTTCAGAAAAGAAGCCAAAATGGCACAAGAACAAGCAGCCATTTCCTGCTTCAAAGGCTGCCAATTTGACAGCAAGCAATCACGGCCATGCAACCCACATGTAATTTCTCTACACCATCTGCTCCCTTGGATTTTGCTCTAGACTATGATGTTCAGCCTGTTGCAATTCGGTTTCATGCCATGATATATAGCCATTGTGCAATATTCTTGGCATCTCAGCGATTTGTCTTTCAAATCACCAACTGTCTTTCTTGGATAATAGAGGTACAAGAGGATGTTCAGTGATGTGACTCACTGTGTTTTGCCCTCTCTCAAGATATTACTGTATTTGCTGCATCCAGATCTGTGATGTTTCCTGCAACTGTCTTTCATTTTTATGTCTTTGAGCTACATGGTCTTTGAAGCTGGCATATTCTGAAGGATTTTACAGTCGTCACAAATTTCTAGTCAACACCCCAATGTTACCATTTGCTTGTTGAAAAATTGGGGACACAAATTTCCCTGCAATTATAAGCCTAGCCAATTTTTGAAATGTAAATTTCCCTCCTATAATAAATCACTCCAAAAATAAGCCCCTCAAAAGGCTCCTTTGAAAAATATATGCCTATTATTAGGGTTTATTTTCAGAATTTTACAACATTTTAAATTTTACTTGATTTGTAGGTAAGGTTGAAAAGAAGTCAGTATGTTTTGTTCTCTTCCAGATCAAGTGTTTTTGATTCTCTATAAAGAGTTGTACTACAGACACATCTACAATAAACTCAAGGTAATGTGTTGGTAACAAATTGATTACAAATGATTATTACTTTTAATAAGGAATATCTCTATAGTATATTTAACAATAAAATTGAGCGTGTGCTGAATATGAGATCATAGATGGCCAACAAGGTGCATAGTGCCAAGTTGCCTCTATTCATCTCATCAATATTCAACAAACGCAAGTGGAACAATTGTTTTATTAAAAATGCACCTCAAAATATTGAAAACTAAAACAGATTAGAATGAAAATAAAAATGCCCCAATAGTTATGTGTATTTGTAGAGCATGGTATAATGGCTCATATACCATGATGGCTAAACCAATGAAAACTCTTGAATTGCGTTATC